GATTGGGTGTGTTCAGGGTAATATGGTAACAGATTTCTTCTTGTCTCTAAACTTTGCAGTATTAGGTTGGCTCAGTGATAAGTATGTGAAACCTTTTGAAAAAAAGAAATTCTGCAAATCTATTTTTATACATTTTTTATATTGTGGTAAAATACATATAGGATAAATTTGCTATTTTAACTCTTGCCACCTGTTGGATTTAGTGTTGAAGTTACATTCACCATGTTGCACCACCATCAGCACCATCTATTTCTAAAACTTTACATCACCCCAGAGACTCTGTAACCAGTTAGCAATAACCCCATCACATTTTTAAATGTGAGGATCATTTTCTTATTTCTTGGGAGAGCCCTTCCTCTTGGTAGAAGCTACATCTTTGCAGTACATCACAGGCCAAAGTACCCCCCTCTGGCCTGGGTAAAAGTGGGAGTTGTGGCAGTTGGTTGTCCATTGAGTCAAAACACCTTTCTAAATGGTGTTTGCAGCAAAGGTTTATCAGTACCAGTGCTTTAACAATACTTAACAGTGCGCCAACAATGCTTAACTTCTATTCCAGTGTCCCAGGGAATGGAAGGTCCCTTCCATCTGTTTCAGAATAGAAGGAACTAAGACTTTGAAGGCAGAGAGTCCTGACTGGGTTCTGGATCTTGGCATTACTTGCTGTTGCAATACTCATATCACCTCCTCATCAATAGACATAAGATTTAGAATTTAGGCCCTTGATACCATTTCTCCTCCACCTTCTAAAGCAGAATAGATTCATTCATGCAGCATTGGTCTTTTAGGTTTTGACTTTCTTTCTTCTTTCCTTTCTCCTTCCTTCCTTCTTTCCTTTCTTCCTTTCTCTCCCTCTCCCTTCCTTCCTTCCTTTATTTATTTTTTGTATGTGTCTAGTAGTGGGGATTGAACCCAGGGACTGGCACATGCTGGGCAAGCACTATACCACTTGAGCCATGCTCCCAGCCCTGACTTTGATAAACAAGTTTCACAACAAGTCTCTGAATCATATTTATACAAACTCGTAACTTTACAAAGGCAGAACTAAGCATTACGCAAACACCAAAGGTGAAATATCACCCCTTCATACTAAATACTTCACTTGGCTTAATGATTTAGAATATCTAATGCCTGTTTCCCCACTGACATAGAAGAAATGAAAACATAATTCATTTAATAAACAGTATGATCACTCCTCATTGCTAAACATATAGAAAGTGCCGGGTATGATCCCACCACACTACCTCCAGGAGCCGCATTCTATAAGAGGTCCTTGTGCCTGTGGAAGGTGGACATTTTATTCAATGACAGGACATTAAACATTGCTTGTGTTAAATGTATATAATGTTTAAAAATTTTGTAGTATCACTGCCAAATATCTGCTTATAAGTTTATAATACGTAGCTGATGCAGTGAAACACATTATAAGAACTTCAAAACTACAGACAAATCATTATAGAAACCATCACGAAATTTTCTCTCTGATGTACCATCAAATTTGGAAGATTGAAATAAAATATGAATTTTGACTTAGAAGAAAAACAAAAATCTGAGCAGGTAAGAGTATATTCTTCTCATCTAAAGTTTCTTTACATTATTTGGCAAACAGCCACAACTTGACTTTTAGGAGAAATTTCTAAGTATTCATTGACTTATTCTTGATAATTTCACAAGATCACATACATAATAAATGTCAAACAGTCTGGATGTCAAATAAACACAGCTGAATTTTCAGAAGTGTTGAGTGCATGTATTTTATTAGAATGATATTTTCAACACCAAGATATATGACTTTGTTCACAGTTGCTCTAACACATACACTTAAGATAGCCACAAAGGTACTGTACACCAAGTAGTACTTTTGTAAATCATAAAACAAATGTACAAAAGAGCATTTCAGTAGAAATTAAGTTAATTTAGGACAAATCTCATGTTACTTTGACGCACTTTCTTACTGTTGTTTACCATGAAATTAAATCCATAGCTGTTCTTAGTAACTAAATGTTCTGATGTTGAGAAGTAAGCACACTTACTCATTCTCTGCTAAGGCACTAAAAATCTAACCAAATCTTTTCTAAAATAATTTTTATACTTTAGGTTATGTGCCATTAATTCTTCAAAGTAATTTTTAAATGTTGAGGCCTGTAGAGTACAAAGAAAGAAAATTGATCCCTCCCAAATGGATTTATTTTTATTTATATTTATTGATTTTTCCAGAAAAATACAAAAGACTTTGAAGCAGCTAGGAAACATGAAGATCTCTGGCAAATGAAGAGTTGACAGAGAGTCAGACAATGTTTGCTTTTGAATATATACAGTATTTAAGAACTTATACTTGTAAAACATCACAATGATTTTAAGAATAGTTCATCAAATAACTGTTAAATTGTTTGACAACACAGAAAGATGATCTGCATAATACATGTAAAAGAAAGGCAAACAGAAGTACAACTGATGTGTTTTATTATACTATATAATTTACACCATGCCTGTACCCACATGGAAAATTCACAGTTACAACTAAAAACTGTATTTATAATAGTCATTTTCGTACAACTATTTGCATAATTTCCAGTTACAGACTTAGAGACCTACTACATGTATACGTATCCTTTCTGGATTAAAATAATATACATTTTAAATTATACTTTAATACTTACATTTAGTCAAGGTTGACTGGCTTAGGGTTTTATCATTTTTCTTTATAAAACTAAATGGAGTGGTGCGTACTTATAATTCCAGCACTTGGAAAGCTGAGGCAGTTCAAAGCCAGCCTGGAAGATCTCAAGTTTAAAGCCAGTCTGGGCTACAGAGGAAGCACCTGTCTCAGAACCAACTAACCAAACAAACAAAATCTCTTTCAGGTGAAACAAGAGTCAGGTGCATCCCAAACCACCCAACTCCTCTTTGCTAAGCCTGGCAACTCACCCTCACCTCACTCTATCAATGGCCCACAGACCTTTGAACTTGACCTCACTCCTAACCTTCATTTTTAAAGTGAAAAAGAGAGAGGAACAGTAATGTGAATTGAAAATAAAAATGAAATATGCACCTTTCAAGTGCTATCTATAAGAGTTTGTTTTCCCTGTTAGTTGGAAATTCTCCATGCTCCTAATATCACTTCCATATTTCTGTTGTAAGACCTGACTGGGAAAGAGTAAGAAAGTTTCCCAGCTGTGCTAGTCTTTCTTTGGTTTCTTACCTCATAGACAAGGAAGAGCAAATTAAATTCTTTCCCCTTTTATCTTACTTATTTTATTTTTTGGGGGATCCGAGATCTTACTATGTAGCCAAGGCTGATCCCCCTGCCTTGGCCTCCAATGTGCTGGGATTATAAGCATGTGCCACTCTGCCTAATTTTTTCCCTTTTTCTATCTAACTTCCTTGAAAAAAACTTCAAATATGTATTTAGCACTTTTTAAAAAGGGGCAATATCTGATTAATAGAGGCAGGAAAACTCAACATGTGCATTCTCCCATTTTCCCAAAGGGTGAGAAGATGTGAAAATGTATTTTGGGTTTTCTCCCTTGTAATAAACCTTTAAAACATCAAGAAAGAAAGGGAGAAAATGTCAACACTGAAAACTGAGAGTTGAAGGTATCTACTACATCAGCTTTTTCTGTTTTGGTTTCTTTTTCTTTTGTTTCTATCACAAAATTCCACGTCACTCTTAGCATTCAGTATTCTTTCCTCATATTCCGTGATTTGATTTATATTCAAATGACCACACAGCAATGCAGCTTCAAAAGGCTGACTCTGTTTCTGGGTTCTCCAGATAAATTACCTACCATAAGGTGTCTCCTACAGCCATTCTTAATCTACTTCCTCATCGCTGATAAGTACTGACTCTTCATTACAGAGGACAGCCCTCAGTTTGTCCGTGTCCTGAGCGATGAACTTAAAGCATGCTGGTATAGGAGCTGTATAAGATTGTTCCCTTTAACTTTATATTACTCCAAAATATACATATACAGACATGAAGCACATACAAAGCAAATTTACAGAGTCTATGAAAATAAATTGTGGCTATAATTCCAAACACATATTTAGGGATTCACAGTTTAACAACAAACTTACATGCAGGTAAAAAGTATAGTTTTCCATTTTCAAGTTACACAGCAAGAGGAAATACTGAATGTTTTAATGTTTGTTTTAGATTTAGTCTTCTCATAAGCCTTAAAAATGAGCAAAACTGAGGCACAGATCTCAAGCTACATCTATAGCAATGTGGTACTATTTTTACTAACAAATGAAAAAGTGATATAAATATACTATATACAAACAGAAACAACAATGGGAACATTATGCAAAATTGTTTGATACTGTCATTATTTAACTTTGCAGTGTTTTGACCAAAGACCCTTAGCTTGCACATTGTTTTCTGGTATTAAGGAATAATCCTGTCTATATAACATATTTAACTACTGAAAATAGGAATGAATGGGGAGGGGCTGGTAATATTTGAAATACACAAGTGCACTGCTTGTAAATATCTTTACAATTTAACCACATCTTTTTATCTGAATGAATTTCTTTTACATGGTTACATTTACTCAGAGTAAACAAGTAAAATGTACCAGAGTACAAAATATTGTAACAGGGGATTCAGTTTTCACATTTACTCCTTGGTACAGTTACTTAAAATATACACTTGTGAGTGGGGCTTAGTGGGCACTCCTATAGTCCCAGGTACTTCTGAAACAGGAGTATTGCTTGAGCCCAGGAGTTCGAGGCCAGCCTGGGCAACATAGTGATACCTCATTTCAAAACAACAAAAAATTAAAATAAAAAAATTTTAAAAACCACTTGCAAATAGCACATCGAATAACTATCAAAATCCAGGGAAATGTGAAGAAGCTGTTTAGCTGAATAATGAACAGAAATGATCAAAAGAAACTATAGTTGCCTAAGAGTCTTAAAAATTAGAAAATTATACATGAACCCCTGGGTTCATTTTCTAGCACCACAAAAAAAAGAAAAAAAAAAAAAAAACGATTAATTTAACACTCACCAAATGTACCAAAAACCCTTCTCATTTTCCCACTTAACTTAGAGATTCACAATAGCCTCATAGCTTCAGGACATGTGTTTATACTGCACATGTACAGTGGAACACAAATACAATGGGTACTTACTAAAACACCCCTATGTACATCGTTATTAAGCTTACACTAACTGTACAGACCAAGAAAGTCACAGACACCCTAGGTGACTGTGAGTTCTGGATATGCTCCACTACCCCACTGCACAGCAGCTTAAAGTGCAAGGCAGCCTTCAGGCCCATCGTCCACTGGAGGCAAAGCTTCTGCTGAATGAGAAGTTGATTTCGGAGTTCTTGTATTTTCCCCAGGCACCAAAAGGCACTACTACTGCAGTGCTGTTGTCTTCAGTACCATACTGTATTGCCTGCATGGTTTGCCAGGAAAGAAGAGAAACATTGCATTCAGAGTCTATACAAAGAGAAATAACCTTTCCTCTGGAAAGCTAAACTGGTTTTATAAACAGTTACCAAACACAACTATTTCACAGGCTTCTGATTTTTTCACCTCTCTCAATCCCCACAAGGTTATTAAATTGCAGGTGGAATAACAACCATATTTGCTATAGCAATCTTGGCAGTAGAAACACTGAACAAAAGTACACAGTTCCTAAAATACATGGAAACCCCTTAGCAAAGGGCCTAATGCACAGCAGAGACTTGCAAAGTGTTAGCTCTTGCCAGCAATTCTACTTCTCTGAATTTAGTCTGAGAAATTAAAGATACAATTATAAGAATGAGTATTATGCTCCATGCAAAATGGAAAAGTAGGCCTAAAGGAAATTTCCTGCAGTAGATTATAAATCCATTTTAGGAACAAGTTCAAATAGTGACTGATATGGTCAGTACTATAGTAAGAGATTGGGTTATAATTAGCGTCAAATGTATTTCAAAAGATTACACAGCTTGAGGCAAAGACTAAAGGAGTGACAAAAATATGTGGTGTAAAAAGCTTCAATAAATGAAAAAGTTCTACATACAAATTGAAGCACAAAATTTTTTTACAGTATCGAAGTACTATTATAGTTAATATATGGTAAGTTCTTACATTAACTATGAAACAGATAAACATGACAGTAAAACATTAGGCAAGAAAAAAAACTACAGACAAGAAACACAAATGGCCAATAAACCTATAGCAATAGTTAACTCCACTAACAAAAAAGATGCATACTTAAACACTGAAGTTTTATTTTTGGGGGGATACAGCTCAGTGGTAGAATGCTTGTCTAGCATTCAAAAGGCCCTAGAGTTCGTCACCAGTACTGCAAAATACATAAATAAAATTAATTTCTCCATCTATCAAATTGGCAAAAAACCAAAAGCACTTTTAAGAATTTGGAAAAATACAAACTAACAGCAAGTGAAAAGTATATGTATAACATTTCATGGGAGGGTGGTGCAATTTGACACTTATTTAAAATCTTTAGAATGGTGTTTCATTTCTTTCTTTTTTTTTTTTTTTTTTAAATGGGGCCTCACTATGTTACCCAGGCCCGTCTCAAACTCCAGGGATCCTCCTGCCTCAGTCTCCTAAGTAGCTGGGACTACAGATGTGTGCCACCAAGCCTGGCTCTGTGCATCTTTTTATATAGAAATTTTATTTCTTAGAATTTAACTTATAAAATACTATCTGAGAAAAGGAACATGTATAAATAAACACAAGAATATTAGTTTTCCTCCCATAATATGGTAAAGTAAATATAAACTAAATTTGTCAAGTACGGGGACTATTAAAATGAATTATGGGACACAAGTAAAACAAAATGCTATGTAGTCACTGAATATCACTGCCTTTGTGAATTAGAACACATATATCACAAGATGAGTAGCTGAATTAAGAAGGAAGTATTCATCCACAGAACTGGGCCCATTTCCTCAATTTCATAAGCACCCTGTTTGGCACTGGTTTAGGCAGACAGCACAGTAACCAAGTGAATAACTGACGCATTATGACTATGCTTGCCCATCTTATTTCAAGAAAATAATTCTTTTTTAAAGGTCGTAATTCTCAACTACAAATCTTAGCACTTAAAAATTTGGGCCAGGCTGGGCATGGCGGCTCATGTATGTAACCCTAGCAACTTGGGAGATAGGGATAGGAGGATCATGGTCCAAGTCTGGCTCTGGACAAAGTGCAAGGCCCTATCTGAAAAATCACTAAAGCTAAAGGGCTGGGGGCATGGCTCAAATGGTAGAACTCCTCCTAAGCAAGCTCAAAGTTCTGAGTTCAAACCCCATTAGGCAAAAAAAAAAATTGGGCCAAATGTGGCCCTAATACTGGAAATGTAAAAATAGCTATTGAACTAAAGCATGATCAGTAATGGCTGCAACTTAAAACCATCATCTATTAGAACAGATTATTAAGTAACACAAAGTAACCTTTACATGTTCTTTACTGGGTGTCACTCAGCTATCAAATTTCAGCTCTGACTGACACACAATCCCATCCATTCACTTTCTGTATAGTTGTTGGTCTTTTGCACACACCCACTTTTAATAGTCAACCACGCTATTGTGTCCCTCAAATAGGCTATGTACTTGGAGCAGTCCTGTTCAATGTCAAAGGTCTGGACCTGGGAAACAAGGCTGACTGGGTTTCAAGCCCAGTTTTGCAACATGGCCTCTGCAGTACTTCAGTTTTCCTCCTCTGTGAAAAACTCAGCCTACTAAGGTCAGTGTGATGACTGCCTGAGTTAATGTTTGTGAACAGAACAGTGTCTGAAAACATAGTGACATATTAGTTCACTATTGTTGTAATTTATTAATGCTGCTGCTATCATTTCAAAGTATGTTCAAAGTCAAAAAATGAACATATCACATTTCCTTGACATGCTAATTTTACTTAACTACTTGGACAAATTGTGAAAACTTGTTAATTGGAAGTATTACGAATCAGTATGACATTTGCTGTAGCACTCACCCTAAAACACACAATTTCAAAGAAATCCCAGGACTGGGTAGCTGCTCCAGGCTGCCCAGGACTATGTGCCCAGGCCTGTCCTTTTCCTTACTACCTTCTTGGGAACTATCTAGCAGGAATTATGCCATGTTACCTGTTCAGTCACTGCATGGGCTGCTTCATTAGGATCATGGCACTGATTGACAAAGTCACAAATCTCTTGACTATTCACCATGAAGTTAATTCCATCTGTGGTGAGGACCAGGAAGCTGTCATCAGCGTGATGTAGCTGCAAGGAGAACCAAATGTATACCATCTTAAACCAGACTCTGCCATAGAATGATGTCTAGTGCCATCTATGTAAGATTTCATAGGCAAATAGTAAAAATTTAACAGGTATCAACCACCACTAAGGATAAAACAAATCTTTCCTTAGTAACACCATAAAGGGAGAGGCAGACAGCTGAACGCTGAGATAGCCTGAGTTTGACTCCTACCTCTATTCAGCTGGCTGAGCACTTCTTAACATTGAAAGTGTGCCCCTCCAAATGCCTTAGAGTTTCTTCCCTTGTAAAATGGGGATTGTACACCTCCTTTATTTTATTTTTTCTTTTTTTGTGATACTGGAGTTTGAATTCAGGGCCCCCCTTGCTAGGCAGGCACTCTGCTACTTGAGCCACACCCCCAGCCCTAGTAGCATCTCTTTGAACAGAGCCTGGCATATAGTAAAACCCACTGAAGTATCTGTTACATATGATGAACATTAAGTGAGATATCATTAAGACATGAAACCCTCCATGCAATTAACGAACAAACATTTATAGCAATTTCTGTGTGAGCTACTGTAGTTGGCTTAAAGGTTTCACAGAATGAGGTATCACAGCTGTTGGGGTCAGTTTAGAGTAATAGGGGCACTGTGCTGGAGAAACAGGTGGGGGATTATTTAACTTGATGGAGAAGGATAGTCGATGATGGCTCTCAAGCTGAGATGGCCATAAATGGTCAGGTGTGAGAGAGGAAGGGCAAAAGAACCATTTCATCCACAGTTGGGGTGAAATATAAGCCAAAGACTTCATCACACACCATCATATTTTACTTGAAAAGCTTATCACTCTTCCCTTTAAAAATCATTTTGGCTTCAATTAAATCTTCCAAAGCTGGGCAGAGTGGTGCACACCTGATATCGCAACACTTGGGCGGCTGAGGAAGAGGGATCATGAGTTCAACACCACCCTGGGCTACATAGTGAGACCTTGTCTCAAAAAAATAAAAACAAATAAAAAAACTTTCAAGATATCCTGTAGCTGGAGACAACCCTACACTCATTCTTACTATATGTGTTTGCACGTCTTTTCTTACCTTAATCCTCTTTGTTTCAGGTTCTGCTATCACCCCACTGTTTTTAAGATCCAAATCTCCAATACTCCTTGTCATTGCAAGTCTGCCATTTACATGAGGTTGTCCCAAACTATTCCAAGCGACAAAGCCACCACATTTTTTAATCCTGTTCAAGAAGAAGATAAAAGACTAAAGCTATAATATGCAGAAAACCAAGTTGCTGTTAAACATAAGTATGACATCAGTTTCAAAATGAAAAATTTAGACCCCCACAGCTGCAGTACCTAGTAAACTACGACAGGAGGACTGAGTTTTAGAATGGCCCAGACCGTCTCAGAAACAACAAAAGCACACCTGGGTTGGAGTGCTTGCTTAGCAAGCATGAGGAGCTGGGCTTATCCCTAGCACCATAGGGAAAAAAATGTAAAATTTAAAGTCTTGAACTATAAACATCATCCCCACAGAGTGACCAATCCGTGGTGGCAAATACCTTTCTTTTTCATCTTTTCTTTCTGGGGTATGGTCAGTGGTCAGCTTCATGGGTTTTCCTTTTCTACACAACAGAGCCCGGCTATCTCCAACACTGGCTACAACCAGCTCAATGCCATCTCGCAACAGGGCTACCGTTGCAGTAGTGCCCGAGGTCAGAAGGGTTGCTACAAACATTATAAAAAAAGAGTGCGTTAGTGACAGTCAAATGATTGGCTATAGAATTTTTATTACAGAATTAAACATAAGCATAATAAAAAACTAATGCTGGGATGTTACCATTCTAATTTAACTAGAGCTATGCAAATAAAATGCAAATGAACCATGTAAGTAAGATCATGCAGGAAAACAACTACTTAATTCAGTGGCAAGGCTCCATGCAAACAGAAAACTGTTGCTAACCTAACTTGGGAAACAATGTGTCACTGTCTCCAAAAGACCTCTATTCACATAGAGTCCACTTAAACTTAGAATTATGTATATCAGTATCAGGTGCTAACACTAATAAAATATTGGAATTTCATTAGACTGGCTATTATGTCAGGATGCGGAGGTGAGCTGGGCCCATTCAGGCAGCATGGCTTTTCTCTACTCTTTGGATGTGGGATTTTTCTTCCATTTCTCACTCCTAGCCAAAGTTAACTGTCTAAGTGAGACATGCCAAGGACAGAGCATTTGCTCATCAAGTGCTGTATTTTATATCCTTTCCTTCTGCAATGGTTTTAATTTTACAAACATTCACCAAAAAATCCTAAAATGGCTGAAGGCCCACATTCTTTTCTGTTTATCTTGTGTTCTCTCTAGAAATGAAACAGTTACAGCTATCATTACACTAACAGAAGATTTGGGGGGCGAGAAATGAAATTCATTCTAGTTTCCCATAAATTTATTGCATTCAACACCATTAGTGTCAGAGGGAGCTAATGCAGTTTGCCTCCAACTCCTAGGATTTTGGGGTCACGCAGCACTCCAGGAACTTGCATTTTTTTCTAGCTAATGTCAAGAAAAATTCGATGCTACCGGACTTGAGCGTGCCACTACTTCCTCCTTGCAAGTGAAACTGCATTTTTGCATCTTCCTTTAATTTCTCTATACTAAGTTCTTTACTGCTTATTAAAAACTTTTAAGGTGCATTGAGCCTTGCCAAAAGTAAGAATACTGTAACAGTATGAGTTAAAAAAAAAAGTGGAAGAGATTGACAAAGATAACATAAAGCAGGTATTAATCGCTAGAAACATTGCTGATTCCTTTAGTTTTGTTTTGTTTTTTAAGACAGGGTCTCGCTTTTGTACCAAGCCTACCTGAAACTTAGCAATCCTCCTGCCTCAGTCTCCCAAGTGCTGGGATTACAGGCATGCACCACCATACCCGACTTAATGTTACTGATTTTTTAAATTAAATATTCAAGTAACATCAAAAGTGACTTTGACTTTAGATTTAGGGAAAGTGCTATAAATTTGATTGATTGAAATTTAATCTTTCTGTGGTTTTCCTTTCCAAAAAGACAATTTAAAAAACATCATCACTAATGCATTTTGGAAAAATACATATGAATAGATTTTCCAATCAGTATATTCAGATGCCTGCTTTAATCAGAAAATTAAAAGGGAAAACATGAATAAACTGTACTTAATCTTTCATACTCATGCTGAATTTACTTTTTTGACAGGTAGCATTTCCAGCTTCACTAGCTTCCCATTTATCTTGATTTTGGAACTGTTCTGTCCAAGCAATATCACTGCAATGCTAAAATATATATCTGTCATTATATATAACATATAATGTTAACCTTTGACTTGAGAGCAAAGGATTATGAAACAATGAAGGCTTTTATACAATGACATATTTGCAGTTTAACCAATTATATTATTTCCAAATGATTTAAAGAACGATGCAAGAAATCATAGACACTTATTCAGACAGGACCTGTGTACGGAATTTTGTATTCCTCCTCTTTGTTTAAGCTTTTTAAAATTTCTTTTTAAACTGTCAATGACAAGTTAAAATTTCATAAATAAAAGTTTTGTTGTTTAACATGCAGCAATTCATGGCTCTGCCACCTAGGGATTTAAAAGAGCCTCAGATTTTTGTTTTTGTTTTTATCAACTCACCTTCACAGTTCCAAAATCCCAGGATTTATGGGGAAAGTTTCAAAACTAGTTTGCTAAGCATCTAAGAATATAAATAGTAAATCAGCATTCATTTTCATTTACATGGAGGTAAAAATTTTCACTTTTTTGCCCTAACAACATAACTATAAAACTAAGATATCTTTCAATAAGTTCTTAACACTCACTGGACAATTTCTACTGCAAGTCATCTCAACTAATGGGACAGGGAGGATGTGGGAACCTTCCAGTAGTCCAGGCTAGGAACCGCTGGACTCCTTCACCTGAGACAAAATTAAGCAGATCTCTCTTTCCACTGAAGCCCAGCATATAGTGTCCGCGGGCTCCAGGTCTAGAGGTGCTGACCAGGCACAGTTCTCTGCCACAGATAACACGCACAGAGGCAAATAGGAAATTCACCCAGGAATTGTGCTCAAACATTACAAACCTGCAACACAGGGCAGAGCAGAGAAAGAGCTGCAAAGTAAGGGGAAGGCTTTTTATTTCAGTGACAATTTCACCCACAAATTACCTAACATTCCAGGAGATGCCAAATCAGCAATTCTAAAGCTCGATTTGCTCAAGTTGATGGTATTTTGTAGATGATCTAACTTTTTTTCATCACAGACTAACATTTATCTCTTAGCTTTGTGGCTTCCAAGATAGGAAAATATTTGTACAAATGCACCTGTTCCAAAACTCACCAGTGGCCAGACACAGACCCACCATTCACACTTAAACAGCTGGTCTTGAACACAGTCAAATCAGTAGTGTCATTATGTTAGAAAAAGTACATGATAAATTTGATTGGTTGCATCAGAATTGTCCCCAAAACAAAACAGCAAATTCCTGGTTTGAATAATTCGTCTCTGAAAAGCAGTACGTTAAGGATGTGAACTACAGTATACATCAAACTACTGGGCTCCAATATGTTCTGAGAAGGGACAAAGAACCTCCTACCAGAAACACGGTGCAACACCTTTGTCAATGGTGTGTCATGAAGGGATTTAGTATCCAGAAGCATTGTTTTTAATAGAATGATAAATTTAGATTAATTGTTTAATAAAGGCTAGTAAGCTCTTGAGCTCTAATGAATATTTATAAACTTATTTAATTCATAAAATGGGTATTTCTGCAGCTCTCTCTTCTCCTCAGTGTTGCAGGTCCACACAACAGAAGAAAAATGATCAGTCTTGATAGCAACACAAAAAGTAAAAGCTGTGCTTTTCAAAGAATAACAACCCCCAATTATTACTCAATTGTGTAAATAATAATGCATATGAACCAATACTGTTTCAATATTTATTAAAAACGGGTGTTCTAGACATGTATGACTCATGAACACCAAAATTAAAGTAATGAGCTGAAGCAGTAACAGTGCAATAAGAATGTCTGTCTCTTCAAACCTGTGCCTAATTTTTTTTCATTTGCTGGCCCCCAACATAAGAAGGGAGATAGCTTGGTGGTAGAGCGAGTGCTTGCCTAGCAAGGCCCTGGGTTTGATCCCAGACCCACACAAAAAAAGTTCATTTGTAAGCTACATTACTGTGTAGCTTAGTTTTGCATAAAGAATCATGACCATGACGTGAAGAACAGGCAAGTTTCCCATGAGCTCATGGTGGAAGACAACATCTCTACTCCCTGTCAGAGCAAGTCTTCTCTTTTTGATCCATTTGTCCCCTGGGGAGCTTTGAAGCTTAAGCCACCTAGAAACATTTTGAAGAATATATAAAATTATAATCTAAGTTTTCTACCACCAAGTTTGTTTTAAGTGACTATTTGTAAACAATAGTGATGAGATAGCATTTTAATTTACTGGCTGGTTTCATTAAATGTAAAAACTATATTAATGGTGTAAACTGGATACAAAAAAAGCCAAAAATAGTGACAAGAATGGCTGGGGAAGGGGAGGTGGGGAGTAGAGGTCAGTATGACAGTGCTTGTCTAGCTTTGTAGCAGGTACTTACAAGCAGCTTTTGCTGAAAATCACTGACTCCTTACTTGGGCCTACGAATTAACTGAAGGCAGGATAAAAGCTAGACATCCTGACCTCCATTTTGAATCTGTGTCCTTGGTGCAGTCACTTTGCAGCCATCTTGGAATCCAGGAAGGACTATATAGGAGACAAAGACCATCTGCCAGGCAGCAACCACCTGACCAATCCTGAAACAATGAGCTACCAGACAACCTACAAGCACCAGAACATACCTGTGACTGGAACTGTTTAATAATTCTGCTCCCACTCCTCCTGCCCCCAGTTCTTCCTTCAATTCAAACCTCAAGCAAACATGAGGAAAATGGGTGAAATGCTACTTCTCTCTTCCCATCCATGTTGTGTAACCTCCTCTCTGCCCCTCACCATTACTTGTATCTTTATTTGGCATATTGGGGCCACTGGTGGGACCTGACAAGTGGAACCCAAGGATTTGGGCCTAGGGTCTAAAATCTCCTGTAACAGCATTTTTGAGTCTTGGGTTTGATCCCCAGCACCACAATAAGAAATAGAATAAAGCCCCCTAAACTCTGACCTCATAGGAAACATTCAAGAGTGAAAATGGGGCTAGTGCCAAAAGAAATGATAAAATGTTGAGGCAAACTGTGGCACACTAACTATTCCTTAGCCAGCACTGTGTCTATAGGCAGACATGTCAAAAAGAATACTGTCCACTCTTATAATACTGATACTGCTTCAGTTTTTACTAAAAACATTAATTTTTTAAAAATTTAAATAACTGAAATCTGAAATGAGATAGGCTTGTTTTTTTAATCCAGAAATTGAAAAGTTAACATACAGCATTCTGTCATAGTGGTTTTTGTATATTTGATTATATAGGCCCCCAACCAATAGCTTCTGCCACTTTTGAAAGATTTAGCAACTTATTAAGAATAAATATTTTAAATGTTCTCAAAACACTGATTTTTTTTAAAGAGCACACATTATAAGACTATATGCAATAATATTTAATGACAGTGTTATAACTGACTTTTAAAAATAGCATATTACTCATCATCCTATCTTGCTGCATTAAACTTTCAAACAAATGGCCACTAACTGAAAAATAAATTTTAAGATAGCTTTATGAAAGTGCTGGGACGATTACATCAAAGCATGACAGATGAACCAAATTAAACAATATGGCTTAATTTCATTATTAGGAATAAATTACATTTTATGATTAATTTTTATACAACTATTTGATTATATGACAGGCATCTGTAGAAAGTTTCTTTTAAGACATAGCTAAATAATGCTTTAAACTCCAAATTACCTTGAGTTACAATATATTAGTTAAGAAAGGAAAGGAGCTCTCTCAAATTTCACACCAAATCTAACAATAGTTTTAAGCATTTACACCGATTAGATTCTTTTCAGAAAGGCTGACTGCACCCACGAAGGGCTAATGTATGTGGTTGTTGCCCATGTTAATATTCTTGAATATTCTGATCTGAAAACCTTGCCCCATAAGCTGCAGCTGTTTGCAGAATAACAGGGATACACCACCAGCAGTACAGCCCATGAACACTGTGGTATGCAGATGTGTGTGATGCAGCCAGATTCACAGCCAATCTCACAATGGATGAAATAAATGCATACAAAATTCATACTTCCAAAAATAAGGCTGTAAGAAAGTGTTTCATTTCCTCTCTTGCATATGGCTTACTTATTAGGACCAAAAGCTAAATTTTAAGCATAAACTTCATTCTCTCTAAACTCCTATCTTAAAGATGAAGAAAGACAGTGGCAGAAAGGGGGGAAGAGTCCAAAGGAATGAAGAAGAAGAAAAACATGGGCCCAAATAATCTACAAATTAAAAATAAATCTGTGAACAAAGTGAGAATGGGTTTTATTGTTTTTCTGAGGAGGGTGATGGTAAAGTTCTCAAAAAAAGATCAGGAAGAGGCTGGAGATGTAGCTCAATGACAAAGAGCTTGCTTACCTAGCATGCTCAAGGCCTTGAGTTGGGGAAGGGACAGGAAACACCTCTCAAGATAGTCCCAGGATCCCCTTTTCCCCTCCTTATTATTAAATATGAATCATTATTAAGTAAGAGATGCCATGAGGGGCACCAGGAACCAACCTTGCCCTCTCTTTGAGTTTTCAGCTCCTTATCTGTGAAATGGGGAGAGTTTCTATCCCTGGGCACTCCAACTGGAAATGATATTCCCTTGGTGCACTTTTCTCATTAAAGAAAAGGATGAAACAAATACAGATTAATATTCCTAAACAATTCATTTTCAAATCAGTTATGAGGCATATGTTATATGACTGCTGCAGAAGTTTTCAAGTTTAGCTTGCTGGGCCAAAGAATTTGGCCAGTTAACTAGAAAACATTGGCTACATTTTCCTGAAATGTTGATAAATTGAATCAAAACCAGAAACATTTTACTTTCAAAATTAATACAATACACAATTTTTAATAACTTCAGCTGGCATGCCCTGTATCTAACAAAAATGAAAATATCACGTACCACTGGAAAGTTGCAAGATCCAGCTCTTTTAAGAAATGGGAGAAAAAAAAATCCTCCTTTCAATTATGTGCACAACTTTGCACATAGGCACCTGCCTCTCAAACTTGAAACTGCAGTCCCTAGGGCACCTTGTTGAAATGATTTTTGACAAATCATTTTTGACAGATTTTTGACTCAGTTGCCACGAGGGAGCGCTCCCTGAGATGTCAAAGCTGCTGACATCTTTGAGTGACAAGAATACAGGATTCAGTGGTAAATAAATGTGCACATTGGTGCACATTAGCCACTTTCTTTCGTATTTAGGATTTATTGACAATTTTCTTCTTTTCTGAACAATCACCACCCTAGATGTGATTAACCTGTAGAGTACTTCCATCAGGGAAAAAAGAATCTACTCATCATAAGAGCATCTTGAATAAACAACCATTTTGGACCTTCCCTTTCTGAAAAATCCTTATTTCATATAAAAGTAAGGTGCTGACATTAGTTTGGATTCCAAACAACATTCAAAATGATTCTTTACATAAAGTCATTTACACATAAGCTTCTTTACAAATAACATACATTAGAATTCCCACCCACCAAGGCCTAAATTGCTTCCTTTTTACCCCCTCCTCACGGCCTAGAGGAATGCGATTATTTTACATACCATCAGCAGACAGGTGGGCATGACTTGCAAAAGCTTTTTCTATTTCTAGAAAAGCCAAGGTCAACACAGTTTCCAAGTTCTCCTTAGGAAGCAAATCCCTTTGTGGAAAGAAAAGAGAGCCATAATCAAGTCACAGTAGGTTCCTCCATAGGTTCCCTTCTCTCAGTCACCCTTACTAGCACCCAGGCCTCAAGACTTTCCTTGCAGAAGCTCAAGATGTGTTGCTTAAGGGATGTTGAGCAAGCATTTAAGGCTCTAAACATCAGGCACTGTGATGAGCTTTGGGTTTTTGTTTCTTATTTTTTTGTTGGTGGTACTGAAAATGAACACCAGGCTTTTAAGGGATCAAAAACAAAAGTCTGTCTGGGAATGTAGTTAAGTGGTTGGGAAAAACCAAACATGAGGTCCTGGGTTCTATTCCCAGCATACACGCACACAAATCCAAGTCCCTTCTGAAAGAATTAATCCTTCAACCTTGAGAGGTCAAGAGTTCCTTCATATTAACTTACAACATTGAATTCTGTTGTGGAATGAGTTAAATTATGCATAAATCAACTGATGAATTGACCTGATTACACACAGGAAGACAAGAAACAGTACATGGTCATAACTGCCACATCTCCCCTGTCCTCCTTAATTCTAGCAATAGTGTGATCCGCAAAAACATAACTGAAGTAAGATATTTAAAGACCCCAGACACCCACAATAAATGCACTTTCTCAAGAAAATCACCCAAAGCTATTTTCAACAAGCCAAGTATTCAAAGCATGCATACCAGTTGAAAGAGTAACTAGAAGGTATTGAAACGCACACTATAGGCTCTGCAGGGAGTAAATGCTTCTCATGGGTTCATTTATGCTAATTCACCTGAAATCCCCACAAATCAAGTGATGTGAATTCTGGCCAGTGCTTTCCCCAGCTGTGAAAGCACACAATTTCCAAAGCAGAAAAACTCATCAGTAATGAAAGGCACCCCTAAACTCCTGCTCACTGGACGTGGCAGCCACAAGGTGAAAATCTCAAGGAGGCACAGGGGAACTGCAAAATCAACAGGGCGACAGTCACTGTACGTACAGAATGCATTTCTCCATATGAGTGTGGCAGAAATCTGCAGCCGCAGGTCCCCCGTGCCCATCGTACACTGCAAAGTACAGGACGTCCTCTGTCAGCTGGGCGAAGCCCAGGCGATCCTCGTTCTCCTTGCGTTTGCCGATGTGGGAGGCACAGCCCACCTTCTCCAGGCTGATTTTGGGGATGGGCTTGCCGTACTTAATGCTGGGCGGCAGCAGAATAGGCTCGTCAATGCGGTTATCCCAGATCCCAAAATTGTCCCAGGTGGCTGGCCGCCCGCTACCGTCTGAGTCAAAGCGAGAGCACCTGCGCTCAGACTTGGAGCAGTGGCAGGAGTGGGTGACTCGCCGGTCCTCCTGCAGCAGGCGGGAGCTGAGCAGCATGCACCTCCTCACCTGGTTCCCGCCATTCCTGACCAAAGTAATCAATGCAGCTGTGGACATAACGGGACTCCAAAGGCCCAATTCAGGAGGGAAAGGCCAGCAGAAGGGTAATGGATGTCTTTAAGAAAAGTTTCGCACCTGAGGGGAGGTTGGATAGGAGGGAGATTAGTCAATAATTTTGAATATCAATGATACATCATGAGACATTATGGAAAATGAAAGCCAGAAAGGATCTGACAGAAAGACAGAAATGTGTATATACACACAGGTTATATATTGGGTAGGCGCCCCATAGCCTATTTCTAAGAATAGTGAATCAAAAATGAATCTATTTAATACCCCCGTCATGGTGTTTAAATTCTATGAAAACTTGACAGGGTGCACCCAGCCACCTGCCTCTCAAACTTGAACCTGCAGTCCCTAGGGCACCTTGTTAAAATGCAGATTTTTGACTCAGTTGCCATGAGGGAAGGCTCCCTGAGATGTCAAAGCTGCGTGTGTGCAGGCCACACTTTGAGTGACAAGAATAGAGGATTCAGCGGTAAATAAATGTTCTTCCCTTATGAACACCATTGTTCTGAAGAAAAGATAAGGGCAAATATTAATAGCAACGAAGTCTTCCAAGATAGACAGAAATAAGCAGAAACATTAACTGGTTGATAGAATATTTATAATTCCAAAGAGTGGCAAAGTTTTAGCAAAGACACAATAAAGGCTATGGGGGAGACCTACCTACGTTTGAGGATGGAAGTATAAGGCTGACCTTGAGCAAAATCTTCAGACACTATCTGGAATATAACTAAAGTTAAAAAAAAAAAGGTTGGGGCATGGCTCAAGTAGTAGAACACCTGTCCTAGCAAGCAGAAGACTCTGAGTTCAAAACCCCAGTACTGTACAACTAATGCATGCTAATAAAAATATTTTAAAACAGAGCTGGGCGTGGTTGCTCACATCTGTAATCGAGCTCCTCAGGAGTCTGAAAAAGAGGACTTCAGCTCAAAGCCAGCCTGGGCAAAAAGTTCCCAAGACCCCATTTCAACCAATAAAAGCTGGGTGTGGTAGCAAACACTTGTCATCCCAGCTATGCAGGAAGCATAAATAGGATTGTGTTCCAGGCCAGCACAGCCATAAAGTGAGACCCTATCTCAAGAAAAGCAAAGCTGGGGGCATGGCTCAAGTGCAAGCACAAGGTCCTGAGTGCAAACCCTGTATCAGAAAAGAAAAAGAAAATATGTACAATATGGCCAAAAAAACCAAAAAAATTTAGGATAAAGGTGGCCACCAAATCAACAGATGTATCTATCATGAAAGACGTGGAGAACACTGCTTCTTGGCTTTTGGTTAAGATTATACATGAAAGACTGAAATTCTCTTCTTTTTATGACAATATTGGGGTGGGATGGTAGAGACATAGCATCTTTGGCTATCAAAGAGAATTTATACATCCATTTACAAAAAGATAGGCTTGTATTTTTGCTTCTGACTGAAGAGTGCTATGGTTTGGGTGGAGCTTGTCACCCAAAGGTTCATGTGTTGGAAGCTTTGTCCCCAGTGTGCTGGTGTTAAGTGAGGCAGTGTTTAAAACGTGGGGTCTACTTGGAGGTTATTGCCCATGCACTCAAAGGGATTAAGATAGTTCTTGTGGGACCCAAGTTAGTTAGTTCTAAGCAGAGCAAACTATTAGAAAAGCCAGGCCGTGAATTGCATTCTGGCCACATGAGCATGGTGTTGCATATACTCCTGCTATCTGCTATGGGGTCCTCACCAGAGCTGAAGCCAGTGTTCTACCCTTCAACTTCCAGAGAGAAATGAGCTTTTGTTTATGAAGTTACTCAGACTCACATGCTTCTTCATAGTGACATACAACAGACAATACAAAGGTTCTATTTTATTCGGCAACGTTAACAGTACGGCACATATAGGTAATGACTTGTGGAGAGATTTCTTTTTACTTCAGTGACGATGCATGCCATATTTAGCCTTGGACTACTTGATAGTCTTGTACCTACTTTAAAAGAGTTACAGAATCACAAACAAATATTAAAGTTATTCTGCAGCTCTCCCAGGATACACTTGCCTCTCTTTCTCTCTCACCCTTCAAAATGTTTTTAAATGATAAAATACAGTCTCATTCTCAGCAGAGAACATTATCCACTGGAAACATTTACAAATAAGATAAAATAAACCTTGACAGTTTCTTTGAGCCTGCACAGACTAAAATCAATCATCAACTTGGCCTCGTTCCTTCTATATTATCTGTGCAATCAGGTCTTAAAATTAGGTAGCTACAAAGCATGTTATTGACAGAGATTAAATGTGAACCAGATGTACAACTGGCTTATGAGTACTACAAAACAAGGTCAAAACAAGGTCAACATCATTTAGGTCAACAGAATTCTTTTTTTTTTGGCTCTACTGGGGTTTGAACTTAGGACCTCATGCTTGCTAGGCAGGTGCTCTATCACTTGAATCACTCTAGCAGCCCTGTTTTGTGAAGGGTTTTTTTTCAAGATAGGGTCTCACAAGCTATTTGCCCAGGCTGGCTTTGAACTGTGATCCTCCTGATCTCTGCTTCCGATTATATGTGTGAGCTACTGGCCCCCAGCCTAACAGGAGATTTTTAAGAAGTGTCTCCATATCCACAGGTATGTGGTTCCAAGCAAGCCACCCTGGAGGAAAACCTGTGCATGCTCAGGATACATAGATGTCCACACTGCACTGCAGGTGCTCCATTCATTTTCTCAACTCTGCCCAACTTCTACTAAAGACATGCAGCCTTTCAAAAAATTTTAAATTGTCACTGTATTACTTCAGTTAAGCACATTCACTTTAACCTTGGTTTTGTAGCACCATTTGCTTTTTGGGAGATGTTCACAAAATGAAGAGCAGGAAAATACTCAGTAGCTCCCACAATGATTTAAACACAACTGACTGAGAGTTCCACATCCACTGAACTGTGGAATGTGCTTAAGAAAATTGAAAGTTTTTGGTTTTGAAAATTCTTTTTTCTTATTCATTATTATAATTTTTGGCCATGCTTGGTCAAAACCATGTGTAATAAATCCGGAAATAAGGCAGGCTTACCATGAAACTAAATTATAGTAGGCTGGGCAATGTGGTTCACATCTGTAATCCCAACTACTCAGGAGGCAGATACAGGAAGATTACAGTTTGAGGCCAGCCCAGGCAAAAGCATGAGCTCCGATCTGAAAAATAAACTAAAATGCAAAAAGACTTGGGGGTGTTGCTAAGTGGTAGAGCACTTGCCTAGCAAGTATGAGGCCCTGAGTTCAAACTTCAATGGTGCCAAGAAAAAAAAAAAAGGCAAAACTAAAAAAGCTAAACCATACTAATCCCTTCTAGACTCCTGAGGAAACCATTTAAAGGTAACCCATGTTCCCAAGCTAACATCCAATTTTAAATTAAACCTGTACAAAGGCTAGGGTTGCTCAGTGGTACAACATCCATGATTACTGTGCAGAAGGCCCTGAGTCAATCCCCAGGCAGCAACAAAAAGCAAAGACAGAAAGAGAAACAAACAACAAAACCCTGCACATCATGAAAAATGTCCTCCTCAGCTTCAAATTTAGAAACAGCCATTGCAGTTTCCATGGAAATGACTAGGCACTGAATAGCAGGCAAGGGGAACAGAACCAACAAAAACCTTAAAGCACAGAAACCAAAACAATCAGTGTTCTCTGTAGCAAAAAGAGTGGAGAACAAGTTCACAAACACATAAGAACTCTCTCCTTTTGTGAGCTGAGCAAAAATGAACTGGGACCAGTTTATCATCCTGCCAGCTAAGAAACACAGCTACTCAGCAAGATTTTTGAAGAGGCAGGAGGGAATTGCATCAACCTCTCAAGTAGAAATCGAGACCAGGTTATTTTTATAAATCATATTAACATTTAAATCAAGCTTTGGAAGTCAAGTCATCCTTTCAGCTCTCTGGATACATCAGAGTATGTCAGCAAAAGTTAAATGAGCTAGGTGCTGGTAACTCCCATCTGAAATCCTAGGTGCTCAGGAGGCAGAGATCCAGAGGATTGTGGCTTGAGGCAAACCCTGGGCAAAAAGTTCATGAGACCCTTTCTTAACCAATATGTGGGTGTGGTAGTCATCCCAGATAGCATGGGAAGCATAAATAGGAGGATCATGGTCAGGCTAGCCTTGGCAAAAATCAAAACCCTACCTTAAAAATAATCAGAGCAAAAAGGATAAGAGGCATGGCTCAAGTGGTAGAGCACCTGAAGCATGAAGCCCTGAGTTCAAACCCCATACAGCCAAAAAAAAAAAAAAAAAAAAAAAAAGCTAACTAAATGAAAAACATTAGGAAATATGCACAAATTGTATTCTACTAGTAAAAATAAACTTTAAAGACTGCTAAGGATTGCTTCTCAGCCTTTTGGCTAAAATCAAATGAAGATTTCACCAAAAAAGAAAGTAAAGATAAATAACTTGACTGGAATTCTACCTATGAAACATAGGTAATTTATATAATTAAATCTAAAATACATCGACGGTCATATACAAAAAGGACAAAATGGGCAATTTCCTCTCTAGACTAAGCTTTTCAAATTCATTTTATTCCTCAATTCCAAAAAAAACCCCAAAATATATGAGCCACAATTTTCTTTAAACATATCATTTTTTTCTTTCATTTTGAAACAGGATCTGACTATGTAGCCCTGGCTGACACCAAACTCTCCATCCCCATGTCAGTCTGCTGAGCCTGGGATTGCAGGTATGTGCCAATACACCCTACCTAACTAAACAATTTTTAAAAACCTGTTTGCATGCATACACAAAAATACCCTATGTGTTCTACTATTGTCAGTAAATAAATACCTGAAGGTATTTTCCTATTTCCATATTGATTTGTGTGACAAACCTTCCTTATCTTCCTCCTCAACCTGATACTTTTAAGACTGATATTTTAAGACCGACACAGAATGGTGACTGCAGAACAAAGCTGGCCCCTAGATTAACAATTCTATCCACTGGGGGAATTGTGGCAGAGGGGGTTAACCACATCTTGATATCATAAAGGTGCGCACAGAGACTCTGCATGAGGGCACTGATCACAAGCCACATTCTGAGAGCAGGAAATTTCAGGTCCAAAGTATCAGGAAAGAAAAAAAATGCATTTGGTTTGCAGTTAACTTTTGAAGTACACAATTAAAAAATATAAAGGAGCAGAGATTTGAAAAACAGTAATCAGCAGCTACATGTATATAGTGCCAATTTTCTTTTTCATATGACTCTGGTTTTATCATACCTCAATAGTTTAACACCTCAGAGCTGTCCAAGTTTATTTTTGGAAAAGGGACTCACAGTCTCTGGCATGATGTGGCACTGAGAATTTAAGCTAAACTGCTTTTGATGTCCAAGCAGGTCAAAAATGCATGATGCTGTCATCTCTGTAAGTACATGCCGAAACCACTTAGGAGTTCTGTAAGTCAGTACTACTAACACCTGCCCAGATTTTCTCCCTCTAGAATTTTTTTTTCTATTCGTATGTCCAGTATAACATTGTGTTCAAATGTCCTTTCACAATGTAAACACAAGTTTTACAAAAATATTCTTAAACCAAATATTTCTTTACCAGCCTTTAAAAACAAAAACAAAACAACCCGTGCATCTCAATAAACTAAAATAGTATGAAAATCTCAGATGTATTTCAGCAAATTTGGACACTAACATCTTCTTTATTGGTAGCTTGCTAAGAGGAAAGAAAATATGCTAGTCTACCTAAGGGAAAAAAGAAAGCAACATACAACAAAACCCCAAGGACTGAGAAAACAGTATGAAAGCAATGAAAAGTACTTATTAGTCTAATTCTGTAGATATTTCTTTAAATATTTTCATTAATATAGACACAGGCACAGATCGCATTCCAAACCTGTAACTTTATACTTCATTTAAGAAGGATTTTCCTGCTGGGTGTCACCAGGCCTATAATCTCAGCACTTGGCCAGGTAGAGGCTGGAGAATGGCCAATTGGAGGCCAGCCTGTGCTACAATAGAGAGATTGTCTAAAAAAACAAGGATTTTTCCTTTACATTCTGTGCAATATCACCAGCACCTCTTGCCTCTTCCCTATTTTCTAGGATCCTCTAAGAGAAGGGAGGTGTCTGTGATCTATGATCGGTGAAAAGTGACTAAGGCTGCAAGAAGAAAATCATTAACAAGAACTCACTACCAAAGACTGTGAGATTTTTATTACGTTTATCACACAGTGGTGCATTGGTTCTGATTTCTCCACACTTCAATAGATGCATTGTCCTTTTACTGCTACGGCATTTTAACTATAACACTACACACCATTGCTGTTTTCCAACGTTTTATAATCTCAGACTGGAGTTGCCTATTCTGAAACCACCAAACAACCTCATTCTTCGCTCTGTCCTGGCAAAAGGTGCGAAGAATTCATGAGGCTCTGACTGTACATTTCCAGTTTGAAGCTCAGAAAAGGCAGTAGAGCTTTAAAGACTCCAAATTCCCTGGCTGATTCCACCTGGAGCTTCATCTTTGTTCCCCTCCTCCGAATTCTCTAATCTTCAGAAAGCAGCTGAGATTAAAGGCATCACACAGGGCATTCCTGGCAGAGCAAAACCCAGTTCCTTGGATCCAAACCAACCAGGTTTCTGCATCCTTCGGTACACCGATCTCCTGAATAGCTCACTGTTGGACAGGTCAGATCGCTGACCATAACAGATGAGTTGGACACCCACATCACAGGACAACACCACCCACTGGCCCTGCAGATCGCAGCGTTTCCCTGGCACCGTCCGCCTCCTCTGGGAACACAGAGCCCAATGTCGCCACGTCTGCCTCTCCCGGGAGGCGACATGCCGCTGACCCCTGCAGCATCCTCACCTCCCGGGATTCAGGAAGGGCACCTGGGGCCTCCGTGCGGGGACACGAGGGCGGCCGCCCACCCGCGACCTCCTCCGTCCCCTCCCTCGGACCCCCTCCCACACCAGCCCCTCCCGCCAGCCCGGGTCACGTTCAAGGCCCGCCGCCCAGCGCAGCCAGGGTGGGCTCCGCCCCTGGAAGCTGCTCTAGATCTCGAAAAGGAAGAAAGGCGCTCGAGGAGCCGGGAGAGATGGGCCCTGGAGCTTCGGGATCCCAATAAGGAAGTGGCGGAAATTAAACCTACATTTCTCCTTGCTTTCCCAGGGAGGCCTCCATTTCATATCGCGGCGGGGGAGTGGGGCACCAATAAACAACATAAATGGCCAACATAAATAAATGAATTGTACTGTGCAATCGCTTACCTCGTGATGGCTATGTTTCTGGAAATTTTCTTAATTCGTTTACAGAGGGCGAAGGAAGGGTTTTCTTGGTCTGTAAATACGATTCTCTTCTTAGACTCCGATCTCTGCAGCAAGCAATTACAGCAGCCACAGCCTGGTCTCCTGGAAATTCTCGAAAATTTTTCAACCTCAGTTGGCCAAATGGAGAGGGGAAATTTGTTCCCGCTGACTGACGGCAGCACCGGCCAATCGGCGCTCGGCGAAGCGGCGCGCCCGACTCCGACCGCAGCCAATCGTAGATCCCGACGGGAACGAGCCTCCCGCAACTTTGGTTTGACTTCGCTGACTACCAGCTGCCACGGCAGAGCGACGTCAGCTTGGGCCAGTAGCGGCTCGCGGTGGCGCCCCGCCCTCCCGAGGTGGGTGCTGCGGCCACCCAGGGGGCGCGCCTGGGTGGTGGCTGGGGGAGGCTTGGCACCTGGCCATCGCCGGAAGAGGGAGGTGTGTCGCTTCCTGCCAGGGGGCAGTGGGTGTGACAGCTAGGAAACCGAAAACAGATCGCCAGCACTTGGCCTTGAAAGGCATCTATCAGGTTCCCTTGCTTGCATAGAGCAGGGTTCGTCGTGGCTGAACAAACAGGCGTCCGTGATCGACTCACTCGACAAGTATTTGTGTGTTGTGAAGGACGTCCTACAGTGTACCAGGCACTGCAGGTACAAACCTGACCCAGATGCACACGAGAGCTGCCCTCAGAATATGCAGTTGGATAAGGAAGAAGTAAACAAAACATAAAAGATAACAAATCACTTCGAGGGAGGAAACATCCAGGGTGTGGATAAGGAAAATGAGGAGGGGGTGGCTTTAGATGTCGCTTTTAAGCTGAGTCTCAGAGTAAGAAGGAAAATCAGTCATCCAGTCATTGGAAATAGAGAAATGATGATTGTGCTGGGCAGAGGGGGACAGAACAGCAAAGGTACTGAGGTGGAACTTCATGGTGTTTTGGAAGAACGGGAAGAAAACCTGTGTGGCTCTAGTATAGTATAGTGAGAAGAACAGTATGATGTGAGGTCGGTGAGGGGACAGGGGTCTTAGAGTTTGCATCACATTTTAAATGTAATGGTTCTCTATTGAGGCATCTGAAGCAAAGAATTGAAAATATGTGGTTTAGACTTTAAGTCGCTGTTAAATGTGAGCACAGCAGGTGAAATAATCTACTGGGAGACTGGTAGAGAATATTTAAAGTAGAAGATGCCAGGGATTAAACTGTGGTGATATCACTGGAGGTAGAGAAAAGCAGAGAGCTAGAGAGTTTAAAGATCAATGATTAACTTGTTTGATATTTTAGGCATCCTGGTCCAGGGACAACTGCTCGGAATTCAGTGCACTTAATAACCTGTTAGGACAGTGGTACTCATGTTGATACTTACAAATTCTAGTGATGACCTTGAGGATTGCGTTGGGTTGACAGACAATTTTCATGGACTTCCCGGAATTTTATTTCTTTTTCATTTAACTTCTTATTGCAATATATCAATATATGTAGAAACACACACATATCCTAAATACATACATTTGAAGGAATTTTCACAGCCTCAACAAATCTTTGTACCCAGAATCAGATCAAGAAACAGAATGTTTTGGTTGATTACTATACTCTGGTAATCAACCAGGCCAAGAGGGTGAGGCAGGAGAATCACAGTTTGAGACCTGCCTAGCTAACAATTTTGGACTAGATGCTTGGGTCAAGTGATACACTGCCAGCTTAGCAAATTTGAGACCTTGAGTTTAACCCAAGTACTTCCAAAGGAAAAACCCCAATCCCCCAAAATGTTGTTAACAATTGGGGACTCATCATACTGTCTTCCAGTTGCTGCTTCCTCCCACCAGCAACCTCTATGCTGACTTTCAGCTACATAGATTAATTTTGCCTAACTTTACACTTGGTATATATAAAACCATAAAGTATGCATTTTTTTGTGTTTGGCTTATTTAATTCAACTTTAATACTTGTGGGATTCTTCCATATTGTTGCATATAGCTGTAGATCAATCATTTTATTCCAGTCTGTGATTATTCCATGCTTTATGAATTCATCCTTTTGATTATGACAGGGTAGTTTTCAGTTTGGTGTTATCACAGATAGTACTATTATGAACATTCTAATACATATCCTTGTTGATGCTTTTCTTTCAATGCAGCATTCTGGTAATTTAGTTACAATTGTGTTATTTTTAAATCTGTTCATCAATAATGTAGTACCATGTATTACAATATTTCAAACATTTGAACCACAGTTTGATGTAAATAATGAAAGAATTTACTGTCATAAAAGTGAAAGTTTTGGACAACAACAATGGACTGTTGTTGTGAGGAAATTTAAACTTGAAGTATAAAATATTCTGAATTACCCTTGGAGTTTTAACCTTCTTTTTAAGCACTTGCTAGCTGTATGTCCAGCATTCAAGAACTTCATAATTTTGCCACATCCTTTTACTATAATGGACTGTAGTCCACAATTCCTTGATTGTCCTAAAGAATACCTCTCTGGGATGGAGTTGTAACTCAAGTAGTAGAGAGCTTGCCTAGCATACTTTAGTCCTGGGTACAATCCCCAGTACCAAAAAAGAACAAAGTCATCAGTTTACTTCTTTGATTTATATACTTCTGGTTTTTAAATCTCTGAAGCATAGTTAAGTATTCTACAAAAAAATTCACCATAAAGGTTGATTTGGCATGATAGATCCCTGCATAAGGTCCAAAAGAATCAAGAAGAAATAGCACTCCATTCCTACATTAAGTTCAGCTCCTTTTTTTTCAACTTATATTTTAAACAAACCATTTGCTGAAAACTAACAACTATAGCAAATTATACTCCAAACAGGTCATAGGGATTTTATGAGGGTGTGGGGTCTAGAAACCAAACTATGTGTAATAATGAATTGAAATTTCTATTAATTTTCACTAATGAAAAATCAATTTATTTCTTATTTTAAATTTAGAGCTGGATATTTTTGTATACTCAGAATCAACGATTTTTCAGACAAACATCTGTATGCTACTTTTGGCTTCATGCCTGAAACTGGCCTGGAATACTCACATGTGCTTTTCCATGGTTCAGGCTGCTCTGTCCTGAATTGCTGGCCCACATGTCCCTTCTCCGTGTCACCAGGATAATTGCCAAAAATACAGACATACAGAATTTTAAAATCTTTTCCTTGGACCTAATTAAACAAGCACCAATGACTATTTGAAAATATGTTTATTGCATCCTCCCATATAATATACCTCCAAAATATGGAACAGATGAGTCTCATCTAGTACCAGTGGTACAGAGGTGTGAATTATCTTCCCATTTCCACTGTTGACCATTTGACAAAAATCTCATTTGATCTTATTTAAATATTTAATTTCACTGAGCATGAGTTTCTCATCAGAGCTGTTGTGAGGACAACTATACTTTGTAAAAAAGATGATAAACACAAATCACAAAAGCTCAAAATCAGAAAAATGACATGATAGTCACTATTAGCACTGTTTGACAAATAACTTCTTGCTTTTTGCTACTCAGCAGTTCTCAGCCTCCTGGGGGTAGTGGCAGAGGAGTCATCAATTTCAGAAGAACAAACTGATGACTTTGTTCTTTTTTGGTACTGGGGATTGTACCCAGGACTTGACTTGTTCAATCAAGAATGATGATTGGAGCTAACAGGGTGAGTTGGAGCATTTAATAACCCTATCCGAGGCCTCCCAAAGCTTACTTCCCCTCTCACAGTAACCAACAAGGTTTCAAATAAATGGCTGCTCCTTTAATATGGAGCCAAGTGACTATGAAGAAGAGAAGGCAGCTAATAGTAGCCACACAGCATGAACAAGTTGTTGTTTTAAAACACCAATATTCTGATGCAGGTTAACCAAATTTCATATAGCCTGTCTCAACTGTACAGGTATAAGTTCTAATTTTAAATTGTCTGATTGAATTTTTATTGGGGCAATTTTAGTCTAAGAGAAAAAAAAATTTCCCCATATTGGGGATTGATCCCAGGCTGCATGCATGCTTCTAATAGAAATTTTCACTCTTTTTTTCAATAAATATTCATAAAGTTCCTACTGTATATCAGATTTATATAAGCTTTGGGTTTATAGCAATGAATGTGTGTATAGCATGTAAACATGGTGTCTACTCTCATGAAAACTGAGATGAGGCAAAGAGAAATAATAGGCATGCATCTAAGTATGATGAATACTACAATTGGAAAAATATGATAGTATTCTGTTTCTGCATATTATATAAGACTACTAAGAAAGAATGCAGGAAGAGGAAGCAAATTCTAACTCTTGAGGTATATTTTAGAAACAGAAAATGTACTTTCTATTAGAGCCCTGAAGGGCTCCATCATTATTTTTAAACAATGTGGGGCTTCAAACAAGTAACTAAATTCCCCCACACCTTTGTTTTTATCATCTGTAGCACTAATGTAACCTGCCCTAGCTGACTTACACAACTGCCACAAGTATTCAATTAGGTAGAGAACACAAGTGCTCCATAAAAATAAACAGTGCTATTATTCTTTGAAGATTTTACAGTGTACTGCAGGAGTCTATAAATATAAAGTTTCAAAAATAATGAAAACTCTTGGAAGCCCTATAAAGCAACATACAAACAAGTTTAAATTAATATCATACCTTTCTAGCTGTGGGAAATGGTACAGAATTACACAGTGAAAATTATACCTTTAAGGTTCTGGAACAGATATGCTAAAGCAGTGCTATATGGATATGACTGAAATAGCCCAAAAATCTTCTTGTAATCCTCATAAAGAATATTCAATAAAACTTTTTTGAATAACTAGTGGAGCAACTAGTTCTATTCAAGTGCCTATCAACAGAAAATATGCATACGGTATTAAGAAAAACTGCCATTGTCTTAGAAATCTGTAATGTTAGAAGGGCATAGGCTTACAACCTGTTGGAAATGAGGTCGGTTTTTCAAACTCATTGCTCTATTCTGAGTCTCATTCAGGTCAGAGTTTGGAATCTCAAGGTAACATTGTAAGAGGTGACAAAAGGCACATTTGCCACTGAAAAAGGCATGCGTTATTGGTATGCACAAACACACTTCTTTATTTTGCACGCAGAGTGGGCGTAGTTGCTCAACTGCTTTTCTATTGGTCCCTTTC